ATCGAGCCCCGCATCGGGCTCCCTGCTCCACAGGAAGCCTGCTTCTCCCTCTCCCACTCCCCTTCTTGTGTTCCCTCTCTCGCTCTGTCAAATAAATAATAAATAAAATCTTAAAAAAAAAAATAAAAGAATGTGGGGTTAACCATTTGTATAGCCTTGTGTTCCACAGAGGAAACAACTAGAATAAATGCCCTGGGCCAGTGCATACCTTTCATGTTCCAGTTAGAGTAAGAAAGCTAATGCAACCAAAAGCGTGTGAGTGAGGAACAGCTTGGTAGAAGGTACTTTGGATCATGAAAGGCACTGTAGGCCACTGGAAAAACTTTCCATTTTACTCAGATTGATAGAGGAATCATGACAGGAACTGGAACATCATGCTAAGTGCCTGAATGAGAAATGAAGAGAAGGTGGGCTGAGTAAGTGAAGAGAGGTAAGGTTAAAAGCCAATGGATGACTAGCTAGATGACTTATTACAGACATCTAGGTGAGAGGGAATGAGGTCTGCAATCAAAGTTGGAGCGGTACTGGATACAGCATCATTAGACACTTGATATATTCTGAAGTTATTTCTTTTAATCCCTAAAGGATTTTCAGCTGGGTTGCAGATAGGGCATGAACATAAGAAAGGTGTGGAAAAGGACTCCCAAACTTCATGCATGAACAGAATCGGTGAACTGCCATCAGCTGAGATTGTGGGAGGGCAGCAGAAATGGGTTAGGAGGGAAGATCAGGAATTGAGATACCAACATAGTTAAGTACAAGATGCCTGTTAAGCATGTGAATATAGCTGTCAAGGCAGCAGGCACATCTCTAGAATTTTAGACAGTAGTGTTGACAGAAAAGTAAGTCTGAAAACTGTTAGTTTGTAATTTCCTAGGAGCTATTGAAAAGATGAGACTGGATGAGATTACCAAGGGGGTGACTTTAGGTGGAGTAGATGAAAGGAAAATAGGTTGGTGTGCAGGGAAAGTCCAACACTAATTCTTTGGGTAGAAAAGGAGAAACATTACAAACTATTTCTCAGTTGGATAGTAACAAGTCTCCTATGTCTGTCTCAGCCTATTGAAAGCGAGGCTACAGCTAGAAATGCCTAAGGTACTTGCCTGGGTCATACTACTTGTGGTGAGCCCCACAGAGCCAATGTTCGTGGTTGGACTGGCTCCTGTAGCTTAAACTCAAAACCCTGAGATCAAGACCTGAGCTGAGATCAAGAGTCAGACCCTTAACCAACTGAGCCACCCAGGCGCCCCATGTCTATTCCTTTCAGAGCTAAAAGCGGGTATCTACAGTCTGTCCCTGTCTCATGGCAGGCTGCCCCCTACTACCCACGGGCTTCGGCCTGTACGTCCTGCAGGACTGCTGTCAGCATGGTCAGCTAAAGTTTGCAGTCACTAAATGCAATGGTCACTTCCAGGTCTTTTAAAAGTAGCCACTCTAGTATCTTTGGATGCTTTTAGGCTCTTTCTTTTCTTGAAATCCAATCTATACTCTCCCAGTCTTCCTTTTCCTCCTTATCTATCCACAACTCATTTTCTGGTTCTTTTGTAAGATGTTATTTCTCTGCCCACATCATGAATAAGGATGCTTCTCTGAGGTCTGAAGAATTGTTAATATTAATAATAAATTTGGGGGCGCCTGGGTGGCTCAGTCGGTTCAGTGTCTGCCTTCAGCTCAGGTCATGATCCCAGGGCCCTGGGATCAAGCCCCGCATAGGGCTCCCTGCTCAGCAGAGAGCCTGCTTCTCCTTCTGCCTGCCACTCTGCCTATCTGTGCTCTCTATCTCTCTGTCAAATAAATAAATAAAATCTTTAAATAATAACAATAATAATAAATATGGATAGAAACCTTATCATGGAAGCACACTGTCCACTTAGACTATCTCCTTGGGCTGCAGTATCTCCTGACCCAGATCTCACTATTTATTGCCCCCCTCTGGGGAGATTTTCAGTCTCCACAGATCACAGGAAAGTTTCTCTCACTAATGTTTCCCCCTGCTTCTTGGAAGAGCATTATTAATCACTATTGTTTCTGCTAATCGATAGAAGAGACAGAAAGCTTTCCAGAGTTATTCTCAACTCCCCAAGCAGGCACTGTCATTACTGTACCAGGTGACTGGATAATTTGAGATGAGATTAGAGAATTTTAAATTATGTCTTAGGGTTCTGCTGATTCCCCACCACCCATCCTCTGATTGTGGTGACTGTCACCACAGGCCCAGCCTGCTGAAAAAAGACATTTTGGATAACTCTCTCCTCATTATTCAAGTTTTTATGAATATGTAAGGATGTTGTAAAATAGGTATTTAAAATATATGTATATTTATTAATGCTGAGATATCTGAAAACTATTAATTTTGTATGTTTTTCTTATATTTGGGTATCATTAATTCTACTGCATTTTAAATTAATCCTCTACATATAAAAAGAAGGTAATTATATCCTCTACAAATGAGATCCTTTAATGTTTTTCCTTTACAGTGTTTTTATTTTATTTATTTTATTTTATTTTTT